TGCAACTGAAATCACTCTTCAATTCTTGCTCTACCATTTCATAAAATTTCCAGTTAACCTTGGGCCCATCCATAGAGAGTTGAATCAGATTTCTACAGCTCAAGTCCTCTTTGCAAGAATGAAACTTTTGAAGCATATCCTCTGCACTAGAATGCCCAAGAAATTGTGAATCATAATAGCGAGTTTCAACTTTGTCATGATTCCAGATGCGAACATGGAAATCCATCTCTTCTTTTTGCAGTTCGTGATTCAAACTTTCATCAAACAAAAGCACATATCCCTTTGAAGATTTGACTTTTTCCTTTAGAAGACTCTTGAAACATGGTGCAATACCAAAGCAAGAAAGATAGGAGGCCTTTTTCTCCCCACAGGTAAATTTCTTTGCAATGTCACTGTCTGGAAACATTTGCTGCACTAAGAAGTTTATATCTGTACAGGAATTATACGAATAATGGCTGCTATTCACCTTTAGCGCCCACCAAATTTCAGCAGTTAAAGTATCATTCCTCGTCACGAACCCGGACATACCTGCTGTTGTACTAGCGGCACTACTTGATACAGTCAAAGTAGAGTTGTTACTTTCAGTGGCTGTTCGAGGGGCAGCGAAAGAGCTGTTCGAGAAAAGGTTTCTTATGTCACCTGTTGTATTTCTTTGTTGCTTTTCGATAAGATGAATATGCTTCTTTCCCTTTTCGTGGCTTTTCAATGCCGATTCTCCCATATTTGATACATCAAACGCTTTCATACAAACTCTACATTTTGCTTTTAAACTTGTCCGCGTCACGTTCCAGCCACAATTTATAGGAAGAGTTTTCCAACCATCGGTCACTAAACAAGCATTTCCCAGGCATATTTCGGAACAAAACATTTAAAACTCAAGACGCCCATTCACTGAGTACCCGTTTACAAAATCATGCATGCATCAAGGTTACTACTGCGCATGAGCTTATGATGATACATGAGCCCTCGATCCAGAGTTACACTCGTGTCAGTTTTGGGAAACATGAAAAAATATAGATGCGGTCATGCGGTCAAAACCAGAAAGGAATACGTTATAAAAATACTAAAAAAACTTTGCTCATTTGTTTTAGAGAAAACTTTATTACTTTGTTCAGTTTAACAGATTTCCAGGACTTTCCAGGACCAGCATTACTTTTCCAGGACTTTCCAGTCCTGGAAAATGCGATAATAAAATTCCAGGACTTTCCAGGATTTCCAGGACCCGTACGAACCCTGCTATACTTTCAGAATAGAACAGAATTCTGGCTACCCTAAAAACTCAACAGGAAATCGTCACTTTTAAATTAAATGTTCTAAGGGAGTCCTTGAAATTGCTTGGAGGTTTATCGCCTATCATGAATTAAAAGCTGTGAACAAGGCTGTTATGAATTACACACAACTCCAGATGAGGGTTTCTGGTGTAGTGAAGTACTGGTGCATTTCATCCCTGAGAAGCAATCAAACTACTGTTTTGTCACTTTTAACATTACTTAAAAATTAATAATCGATGACTTAGATGTCATGCATATCAAAGAATATTGGCACGGAAAGAGGTACTCTCTTTAATGGTTCATGTGCATATTCCAGGGTGAGCTTTATTGTATCTCTAGTGTGAACATTGGTGGTGATATTTTTGACAAAGGCCATCATTGAACGGTCATGTTTACGGTTTTGAAGGAAAGATTAAACCACAGAGGCCCAGGGCTAAACAGCTTCGTAAAATGATGTTGTATATTGATATTACTGAGTGATACATTTCTTATGTTTGAAGAGCATGTCATTAACATGGACTGGCTTGAAAGGGAAATAGTTATGGAAGAGGAACTGGAAAGAGGAAGAGAAGAAAAAAGAAAAGCTGAAGAGCAAACGAAAAGAGAGGAACAAATAGAGAGAAGAACAAAGAAAGAGAGAAGAACAAAGAAAGAGAGAAGAACAAAGAAAAAGAGAAGAACGAAGAAAAAGAGAAAGGGAATGGAAAGCGCAACAGGAGAGGGTAAAAAGGGTAGGAAGAAAAAGAGAGAGACGTCAAGAGATGAGAGGCGCGGAGTTAGAGAGAGGAAGAGTGGGCGTAACGGCAAAGAGAGGACCCCGGATGATATTAACAAAGGAAGAGATAAGAGAAGAGGTAAGTGTAAAACCAAGCATTAAGCAAGTGTTGACTGACTGTAAAAGGTCCCATTTCAGTGGCATGTCTAACAAGTCGCTTGGGGCTTCTTTCCAAGTGACCCTTAAATGATAAGATTACACACAGCACACGATTGTAGTGAATGTGTAGATGAAGTGTTGTGTTTAATCATATCTATCTCGCTCAAATATCTAGAGGAAACACTTTGGTTGAAGGAGACAAATCTTACAGTTTTAATTTGATAGCTATGGCAACATCAAAATCTTGTGAAAGATAGGAGGAGAAAGCATTGTAGGAACGGTCAAAATTCTGGTACAGGTATTTCATGAAGACGAATAATAAATGTATACACGACTGTTGGTGTGTCTGGTGCCAAAAGATTCCCTTTTGTCTAACTCTGACCCAAAAGGTTTTATCGTTTGAGTCTAAGGTGAGGCCAGATGATGCTCACCTAAGGCAGGACTTTTAATTGGGACTCTGTGTTTTTTCCGGCTCTACTCAGAGAGGTTAAAGTTAGAGGACATTTTTCTGGAAAACTTCCCTTCCCTCTTATTTGGACTGCAACAACATTGTGCTTGTCTGTAATTTTCTCATTTATATTTTTATTCCAGTTCGGTGTCACAAGTGTCGAGGGTTTGGCCACGTACGTGCCGAATGCCCAACGAGACGCGGCCCGGTTGTGCCCCACCAAGATCAAGATCAAGAAAAAGAAGTGATAGTGAATAATTATCATTTTCACGCCTCTCTTGACAATGTAAGATTTCACTAATTACATTGCCAAGAGGTTTATTTTATACTTTAATACTAATAATCACTTAAATAAAAACGTACACGTGATTTATCAGTATTATAAATTTAATGTATATTGTTTCTTTTTTCATTTTTACGTGATCGAAAGACATTAAATATTTGGAAGAGAAACTTAAAACTTGTCCTTTGCTTACATAGATTTTTCTTTTTTTACGCCCTACTAAGTGACTCTTGATGTCATGTCAAGTTCTCCATTGGTTCCACAAGGAAACAGAAACCATGCACTCAACCCTTTAATTATTCTGTTACGGTGAATAGTACCCGTGGGCCTCTACGTAGATGTTCACTTTGCTTATAACGCAAAGATAAATCAATAGTTTGCCGTCAATGTATGCACATGCATCTGTGTATACAGAGACTTCTGGGGAAATTTCTCATCGCCTGAAAAAATTTTTAACGCTAAACTGACTTAAATTCCAAGGGTGTGAGGAATATGCAGACCTTTTCAACAATCAGAACATCACAGTGGTAAAACATAACACCAAAACTTGCAGACTGATAAACTGATATTTTATAGGGAAGGCTACTCTCTTTTCCAGCAAAATAATCTCCTCAGACTCAGTGATATTTCTCGACTAATCCCCAGGCTTTGTGCAGGGGATTCTACAGTGTACCGGCTAAAATTATTGACCTCACCCGAGGGTAAGCTTTCATTGAATGTGGAAATTCCCAAAAAATGAAACAAATTCTGACAATTTATCCAGCGAGTAGAATATATCTTAACATACCAAATCCACTCTTCACCCCAATTTTCCATTTTCTCAATCAACTCTAGAAACACGTGGTTAATTGTAACAATTCATCCTACAAGTAGATAATATCACAACTTTTCTATATCCAATCTTTACCCCGATTTGTTCAATTAACTTTAGAAAAACGGGGTAAATCGCGACAATTCGAGTGGTTAATATCATAACTTGCAATATTCAATCTTTACCCCTGATTTTCCATTAGTTCAATGAATTCTAGAAAAACGGGATAAGTTCTGACAATTCATCACGCAAGTGGAATATAACCTTAGTTGTCATGTCAAATCTTTACCCCAATTTTCTTTGTTTTAATGAATTAGTTCTAGAAAAACAGGGTAAACTCTGAGAGTTCATAATACCCTTAGCTCCCATATGCCATCCTTCACTCCGAGTTTCATAAGTCATTGAAGGGACAGAGTATTGCTACAAAAAATGAAAAATTGTTTTCAGGAAACCTATTGTGAATTGTTTTTTTCTCTCTTTTTTTTAACTATCAGGAGTAATGAATTATTGTGCCAATAAATGTCAGCTTGATCTCACTGGGGTACTGTGACTGTTCTCATGTATTCATTTTTATGTTTCCTCTTTCAGAAAAAGGAAGTGCTGGACTGGAAAAGTTTTTTCGCTATGTGACATCCCTGGACAAAGTTCCTCCACTTGGCCTTAATAGGAAAGTTGAAGTTGAATTTTCTAACAACAGCAATCAAGCATTTTTTGCAGAAACTTGTAGCATGGTGTTAAAGGTACCAACTGTGCTCAAACGTTTTGAGGATTTCCAGGAAAAATTTTTAGAAGCCTGCGAGAATTATATTGGTTATGGTTCCATTTAATTCTAGACATGGATTTCGTAAGGATCTCTTTTTATTTATATTGTTACAGTTTACAAGCCACTAGTTTTGACTGCATTGCTCACGTTAATCACTGTTGAATTTTGAAATGTAACAAATGTATCTCCTCTGCCAGCTTGTCAGAGTGTAGTCTCGGCCATGATGATGTTTTTTTTTCTTCGGTTATTCAAAAGTAAAAATCTAGCGCCGGGACTTGAAATGAAAAATGTTATACCACAGGCCACCTTTGGAATGTTTTAGTTTGGTCGAGCATTTGTTAGAAGCAAATATAAGAACTCTTTCTAAGTTAAAAAATGGTTGTGACAGACCATTAGTGTTTTCAAGAAATGGATGTCATTATCAGTAATTACAAGTTCTTGCACCTTTTTTAACGGTGGTACATATTTGGATGTTTTATTAAACTCATTTTGTCCCTTTGTCATATTTGGATGTTTTATTAAACTCAATTTGTCCCTTTTTTTTAAATCTTTAACTGCTCGTTGCTGTTTCTTGAAAAAATGTTATTACCTCCAGGTAGATGTCAACTCCATATTCATCACTGTTGCGTAGAGAGTTAATTAAGTTTGTGAGTGATGAGTACTGAGCTGGTTCCAGTGGGTTTGTTGTGTTGGGAACTTCAACTGGAGTTTCATCATCTAAGCTAACATCTGGTGCAGGGCCATCCCAGTGACCACCATAGTAGTCACCCTGAAAAACATGTAAACAACACATTTCATGATGGCTGTATGCCACACGCATGTTGTGAACCAATTTACTGCGATGTACTTCTTGTTAATAAAAAAAATTGCAATTAATCTGTTATTGTTTCTTCATAATCTTGGAAGAAAATTGTTCATGAAGATTACTCAGGTAGATTTATTCTCCAAGCTACTTTACATGTAAGAGCTATTATTGTGACTGCACTTTTGGAAACAAGCTGAAAGGTTGTACTTCTCCACTTGTGTCGACCACAAATTGGATAACATGAGAAACAAGTCTGAAAATCACTATAACATTGCATGAATATCAAAACTATAACAGATTCTTGCAAAGTCCTTATCCCTCCCTCCCCACCCTTCCCTTTTCAAAACACACCTGACTCCAGAATTCATCAATTCCACGATTTGAAGCTGAGACAGCACCAGAGATCCACAGTTGAAGAGGACTCTTTCCCCTCTCTGTAGAGATGGGAGCCCTGTTATGCCCTTGGGCAAATAATTGCATTGTTTGGTTAATTCTTGGAACATACACAGAGTGAAGGGTAAATAAATGAAGCTCATTTGATGCGTCAAGCATTCCAGAACGTTCCATTGCATAGAAAAGGTTGTAGTATACATGAAGACATCCACAAAAAAGGTCTCTCCAAAGACGTTCTATTCTTTGGTTATGTACGCTTCGCCCAGCAATATGGCTCCCTCTATCAGGTCCGCGTAACGGGTGACTCAACATGTAACGTGCAACGTCTACATTCTCGCCACCCTTATCAGACCGTACTCTTGAAGGTAGACCAAAACTCTCAACTGCTTGGAGAAAGCAATCGAGTACCGTACTTGCCAGGTTATTGGTGCTGCAATTCAAAAAAACAATCATTGTCGAGAAGCCGTCAATTCCGCCATGTATTACAAATCACCATCTGAAAATTAACAAACAGTCAAAACCTTAAACTATCCTGGTCTCTGATGACTCTCCGACCCCACCACCCATACCCTTGTCGTTGTGTTTGATAAGTATAGAAACCACCAAATGGTGGAACAATGTGCAGGCAAGTTTTTGCGACTTCAAAATTGTTAGATATCGTTAGTTTTGTTAGTGTTCATACCTTGTGTACAGTTCTCACCGTACACAAGGTGTGAACTGCTTGGCATATAACGAGGTTTCATACATTTACCTTATTAGTTTGTGATTCCCATCGATATGCCACAAGGCAAGAGGGCCACTAACTTGATATCTTCTCCGGCGAACAGTTCGCAGCTCAAGGACTCTCAGGAGGACGCCCTTGGGAGTGACTCTTCTCATACACTCCCTGATGCGATTTTGCTGGATTCTATGACCTGAATTGAGCAAGAGGCCTGTCATCCTCTTGTAGCCACAATTGGGAAATTCTCTCATTAATTCTTCAACAAGGCCATCCAAAGTTTCGTCAGTAATATTTGAATATCTTTGCCTCACAAATGTTTCATACTCACGAATTCTTCGTTTAACAGTACTTTCACTGACACCAAGCAGAGATGCAATCTCTCCGGATTTAAACCCCAAATCTAACAAAAACTCGAGCTGATCCTTTGCAATGATAATGCGTGGTCTTCCTCGCTCGCCAGTAGTTGCAACCTCTGCTTGAAACGCGACGTTCTCACTACAACTACCATTCTCATTTTCTCTAAGCAGTTCTTTCGCTTCTTGAATAAGGGCCAGTACTGCCTCCCCAGAAGGGATATTGTCACAATAACGTACAACAGCATTGTATAACCAGTCGAGGCGGAATTGTATTACATCATTCTGACCAGTACTTCGTTGAAGACAACTCATGATATCAGTTACATGTCTGCTTAATTCTACAGAAATCAACTCGTCCGCCACGTTCGACAGAACAGTACACGAACACTGGTAATAATTAGAATGAATTATAGAGAGCGCGGGAAATGTTTCTCGCCCCGGGACTCCTCGTGAATTTCTTATCGCGAGGCTACCAGTCTACTTGCCGAACATAATTCGAGTAGCCGCGTTCCGAACGTAATTCGGAGGAGCCGAACAAAATTGGACTAAACACAAAAAAACTGCCAGCCTAGTTATAAATGAAATACTCCCAACACAATTCTAAAAGAGCCGAACATAGTTTATTGCATTTTTTATTGAAGTTAAAAGAGCCGAACATAATTCCATGCAACGCTGGAACATAATTCTGTAGTTCGGCCGAATGAAATATCAAACACCATAACATAATTTGTTTTCTAAATTTGACCCTAATAACGCTCCATACAAACCAAACTCCTGGACAAGTACGCCACTCTCACGCTTGATACCGCTCTGGATATCGCTCGGACCGAAGAGGCAACAAATAATCAAATTAAAGAAATTTCACCTGGCACCTCAACTCACGTTGACTAGCGTTGTCCACATTATGCCGGCATAATTTTGAGCATAATAGTGAGGAATCAGCATCGAGCATTATGTCAGCATAATAGTAAGAAAAATTCCCGAAAATATGTCAAAATATCGAAAATAAATAAATACATCAGAGTTAGGTACAATCTCGAAATTGAGATTCCTGATTTCCTGTGGAGAAATATACGTGACAATAGATAGGGCTTAGACTTAGCTGTTTTAATCATACTCTTGATCATGTTGGTGAAAAGATGGCTACACCAAATCTTGAGAAGTTCATGAAGTCATGGGTCAGCCTCGTTGCACACAGTGCCCGCTCAAGAAATGCTTTCAAAGCAACAACTGGACAGATCCCTAAGTCCTACTCAGAGACCAGATGGTGGTCCAATTATGAGACGATGGTGCAAGTGCATGACCTCTTTGGTGATATATCAGCCTTTGTCAATGGAGGTCAGATACCAGAAGTGACTACACGTAAACTGCAGAATATATTGAATGAACAACAGAAGCTTGCCTTACTCAAAGTCGAGCTGGCAATTACAGTCGATGCCATGAAGCCATTTGTTCAGTCTACATATCAGCTTGAAGGTGATGACTCTCTATGCTTGCAAGCATATCAGATAGTAAGTTCGAGGCAGAGATGAGAAATCTACACTTCCCAAACTGCAGTGCTGTTATAAGAAACATTGCTTATGGAAACATTGCTCTTCAGCGACAGTCAGAGGCCTATGCAATGGCCTGTATTCAACCAGCATATGATTACTTCGCATCTAAATTTTTGAATAGTGGAGATCAGTTACAGCCAGCTGTTGAAATATTCAAGGCTGCATGTGACGGATAAGAAGCCTTGCGTTACGCACGTGTTAAGTTAATGATTATCAGTAGGTTCTTTAGTATTTCGCAAATGTAACCCGATCGTACTATTTTTAGAAGAGAGAACGCAAACACCCCTATATTCAGTTTGTGGAGATATTGTTGAGATATTCCATCGCCATCGGAGATATTGTACTGTGCCACTCCCCCTAGAAGGATTATAAGGATTATAACGTAAGTTTTTTCCATTTTGTTGTTGCTTTCGCTCATCATTTGGTTTTTTCATCAATTCTTTCTCGTTTAGTTATTTGTTGCGCAACGTGCTTCTCTGTAATTTCCCCTAGTTCTCACCGCATTCTTCAATTCATCTCATAAACCAATAATCAAGAATCAGAAGTTGTGTGGTTGATCATGGCGAACTCTGAATCGATACTTAAGCAAACAAGGACTCGGTTCGGGAACGCGACACTGCACGCCTGTTCAACCCAACCAAAATTGCAGAAATTCAGCCCACTGCTGCAATTTTAAGTGATCAATTAAGGAAAAGTCCTTTCTTGAACACTGATGCATGCATTAATGGCCTCCAAAGGGAACTACCAACTTACATCGCTGCGGCTATTGATGTCAATCCTGATATTAATGTTCTAACCTGGTGGGGGATTCACGAACAAGAGATTCCAAATTGAGCAAAAGCATGCAAGAAAATCTTGCTTATCCAACCATTATCTGCAGCCTCGGAGAGGGTCTTCTCATTGCAAGAAAATTCCTTTCAGGACAGCCAAGCATGTGCTATGGAGGACTATATTGAAGCCTCCATCATGCTTCACTATAACCAAAGATAATCACATAAAGGAAATACTTACACTATATGTTGTCTATATAATCCTCCATATAAGCACATCAGGTCCTCCCATCAGGGCCCGGGCCCCATTATCCATTTGCCCTGCCTGTGGCTCAAAATGTGGTGCTTGTGGAAAAGAGATGCACTGGAGGAAAGTCAGTCGTTCATCAAAGTCTGACAAAAAAGGGAAGACTAAGCATGTTCCTCCAAAGCCTCCTAAACCTCAAAAAGGGAAATCTGACAGGAAGAAGCATTTCCATAGCCTTGAGGCCCGTGATTACAAGGAAGACAGCCCCCAAACATCAGTTCCGGATCAGCTATACTTCCATACCTTGTCAGTTAATCAGGTCACCAAGAATGACACTCAAGCCCTCCTAAAGGTGGAAGCGGTCTCGGATCACTCTAAGAAACCACTCTTGTGTAAGGTTGATACTGGCGCTGAGGGAAACGTTATCTCTCTGAGTACGTACAAATCACTCTTCCCAAATGCATCCTGTAACCCTGGTGGCATTCCCACTAGCCTCACACCATCCAGCACCATCATCACTGCATTTGGTGAACATACTGTTGGTCAATAGCACTTATGTACTTAAACTGGATTATGGTGGCTCCTGTAAATCATGCCCATTCCATATTGTTGATGCTGATGGCCCAACCATACTAGGCCTACCAACAAGTAAAGATTTGAACCTGGTAACCATGAATTTCAGTATCACAAACAATAAGGGGGCTTCCAGGCCAAGCACCACACCTCGACCTATCTGTGACCCAGATCCAGCTGCTGAAGAGTGGGTGCTCAAAAAGTTTAAGTATTGCTTTGAAGGTGTTAGTTGCTTTCAGGGTGAATATCGCATTACAGTTGATCCTGCCGTTCCCCCAGTCGTGCACCCTCCACGAAGAGTTCCAGAGGCCCTCAGGAAGCCCTTGAAGAAGGAACTTGTTTCATTGGTTGAGCAAGGAATCTTGGCAAAATTTACCGAGCCTATAGACTGGGTCAACTTCCTTGTATGCGTCATGGACCTTGGACCCTAAAGACCTGAACTGTGCTATCAAGGAATCTTGGCAAAATTTACCGAGCCTATTGACTGGGTCAACTTCCTTGTATGCGTCATGGACCTTGGACCCTAAAGACCTGAACCGTGCTATCAAGAGGCCACACTATTTTAAACTTAATGGTGCTAAATGCTTCTCAATCCTTGATGCACGCAGCGGTTACTGGAATACCAAGCTTACCATGGAGAGTTCGCTGTTGACAACCTTCAATTTGCCGTTTTGAAGATACAGATTTTTACTATGCCCTTTGGGCTAATTTGTGCCCAGGACATATTTCAAAGGAAAGTGGACGAAACCTTTGGTGACCTACCATGCGTCACTGGAATTGCGGATGACATCGTTGTCTATGGCTACAACAGCGATTTTAGTGATCACGATGAGAATCTCCGTGCTGTTCTTCAGCATGCACATGAGACTGATCCTCGTTTCAACCTGGGCAAGTGTAAATTCAGGTGCACTCAAATTCACTTCTTTGGTCATATCATAGGTGTTGAAGATCTCCAGCCTGATCCACGGAAGGTCGGTTCCATACTGTCTATAGACCCTCAACCAGCCGTGCAGATCTACAAACGTTCCTTGGGATGGTCCAGTTCCCGAGTCGTTTTATTCCTGACTTGGCATCCATGGCAGCTAATCTCTGGGCGCTCACCAAGAAAACAAGAGAGTTTGTCTGGAGTCCTGAGCATCAGTCTGCTCTTGACTGCATCAAGAAGGCAATCATGGCCCCTGCCTCATTGCAGTACTTTGACAGTACCCAGCCTGTAACCATTCAGGTGGATACCTCACACCGGGGTCTAGGTGCTGTTCTCCCACAAGCCAATGGTCCAGTGGAGTTTGCCAGCAAGTTGTTGACCGCAACAGAAAGTCGTTACTCCAACATCAAGAGGGAAATGCTAGCTGTCCTATGTGGCTTGGAGAAGTTCCATTACTATGCCTATTGCCGGCCTGTTGTCGTGGAATCCGACCAAAGCTGCTTAAAGCTATCTTTACATAGCATCTGTCAAGTGCACCACCTCGCATCGCTAGGATGATGCTGCACATTCAGAAGTACGACGTGCAAATCAAATATGTTCCTGGAGAGGACATTCCTGTCTCTGACGCCCTGTCAAGAATCAGCTCATGTCATGATGAAGCCATACAAGGGCTTGATGTATCTGTGCAAGAGGTCTATCTTCAACTTAATTCAAGCCCAATGAGGGTGCCCAGATAAGAGAAGAAACTGAAAAAGATACAACCTTCTCAGCCCAGCGTGAAATCATTACGCATGGATGGCCTGAAAAGAGATCTAACTGCCCTGCTTCTCTTCATGCATACTGGAACTATCGTGATGCGCTTACCGTAGCCGATGTCCTGATCCTGAAAGGCAAGTGTATCAACCTGATGTCCTGAAACAGCTACACTATGCCCATCAAGGTTCTGAGAAATGTAAGCTCAGGGCTAAGGGATCAGTATGTACCCCCCATGTCAGCGTCACCAGAAGTTGAATGTCAAGGAACCCTTGCTTTCTCATATGCTGTAGAAGCCATGGCATAACCTAGGCTCTGATCCATTTTACTGGAACATCTATTTTACTGGAACACTTTTTAGTCGTTGACTACTATAGTAGTTTCCTGTGGTAAAAATGCTCAGTAGTAGTCATTCTTCTGCAGTCATTGCACACCTGAAGTCTATCTTCAAGGAACATGGAATCCCAAGTAAACTGGTAACAGACAATGGCACACAGTATACCTCTGCCACCTTCCAGGAGTTCAGTCATAGCTATGGGTTTGCTCATGTCTCATCCAGTCCTCTGCATCCCCAGTCCAATGGTCTCAGTGAGAGGACAGTGCAAACCGTGAAGGATCTTCTACACAAGTGCAAGGAATCTGGATAGGATCCTCATCTGGCTATGCTTTGTCTCTGTAGTACCCCCCTCAGTCATGATCTACCTTCACCTACAGAGCTCCTAAATGGCCGAGTTTATCAGACCAATCTGCCAGCTGTGTCAAAGCCCTCAGTCTCTGCAGATGGAGACATCAATGTTAAGCTGGAGACAAGCAAGACAAGACAAGAAGAAGGCACAATATGATAAAACAGCCTTACACCCACGTCCTTCACTGATCCCAGAAGATCGCGTTCGAGTCTACAATCCAGCTAGTAGTACCTGGATGCCAGGCATTGTCAAACACGTGGCTGATACCCCACGTTCATAGCAGGTGGTCACCCCTCCCCTAACTCAACAACAGTCAATTGACAACAAGTTAAGGTTGTCAGAGATTGCGTGACTAATACAAACATTTCAAGATAATTATTTTGAGCGAGACCCTTTAAAACATGCGATGATAGGATATTTAGATTACATGTCAATGACAGTCAGAAATCAAAGATGGACACGCGCCAAGTATCTCGTATTGATTGACAGCTTCATCGAGTAACTTAGATACAGGAGACCATTGTTGACAGATCGTTAGTTTTTACATTGTATTGTATGATGTAGGTAGGTTGCCTGGAGAGAGTGAGGGAATACTGTACCTGAGAACCGTGAACCAAATAAATTATCTGAAACCAAGTTTATACTGTGATATCGTTAAGTTCGGCCCTAGGGCATTCGCGACAAGTGGCACCTCCCACAGTACACAAGATATCCAAGATGGAAGAGAAACTGACGAAATAAAACGCGAAATTGGCGCTATTAGATCTGACGCGTGGGAAAACCGATGGAATTGTCGGCACTGGTAATGTCGAGAAAATTCACCAACAAAAAAAGCGCAACGAGTGAACGAAGGGTAAATATCACGTTCGTCGGTGAAGATGACGTGGTAAGCGAAATGATTCCACCGCCTGCAATCCCGGTTTCTGCGCGAAAAATCGGCGCTTGTGCTATTGATACGTCTCTGTGGGATGAAAGTATTCCAGATGATCTGGAAATTGCTGAAGGATATCGCCTGGTATCAATGGAAAGTCTAAGGAAGGTTGGGCTCACTGTGAGTGATACTGCCAAAATGGAAGCTAGGAGAAGGGATTCAGAGAGAATTAAACAAGCAGAGAAGAGAGTGCAAGATCAGCACAAGAAATACAGAGTTGCCAGGAGACAGGCTAAACAGCATAATGAAGATCTAAGGATTCGTGGCGAGGGTGTAACTTATGCAGCTGGAGCTTTTGGAGAAATAGAACCTTGTAATGGACCCAAAAGGAGGAAAACTACTCAGAAGACCAAAAAATAACTTTAGGGATATTTCTTTTAAAGCAGTTCTACCAACACACTGTGTTTTTATTGTAAAAGCTAACTTGAACCCATGTTTCCATAACATTTCCTTTTAAATCACATTTCCTGCAAATATGGGTTTTTCATGATTATTTGGGTGCCCCCTTAAATTTCTCAGGATGTATTTGTGCTAACAGCTCCGAATTTGCCACAAATATTTGAGACATAACATACTACAAACCTATTCAGCAAAATTCAGTTTGACTGAAAAGTGTTGAAGTTTTGAGGAGTTAATCTTTTCTTGGAATGAATTCGTTGCCATGGCAACATTAATGATTGAAACCCGATTTTGCTCAATAGATTTGTATTGCTTTGTAAGTAGATCCATGATGCTTAAAACCAGCGCAATTGGATGTATTTTGAGCTTTGAATTTGAGGGGGCAGAAGAATAGTTTAAAATGATAGAGTTTTTGTTTTTGTTTATTATTTACTAGGAATAAACAAACCTGGTCAACTTTACTTGTTGGCTGGTAGGTAGGGTCATGTACTTGCCTCCTGCCAATTTTCAGCAGTTTACTATTAATGATTATGATTCTGTGACTGTTCTACTTATGACCTTCTTTACTGTTGGATTTCAACCAGAGGGCCCCCTTAGGAACGAGATTAAGGTTCTCGAAACGCACGTGAAGTCAGCCATTGCTGAAGCCGAAAAAACACCAAGAGAGAAAAGCAAGAAAATCTGCTGGCTCGCGAGTGCGAAGGACAACTAAAATTTGAAAGGAAACAGCTGGAACAAAAAGAAGAGTTCAGCTCCAACCTAAAGGATTCAACGCAGAATTTGCCTTCTCACTCAAGCAAACAAAGTGTCAAATTGCCCAAGCTTGTAATTAAGAAATACAATGGAGCTCTTGGGAATTGGCTGTTGTTCTGGAACAAATTTGAAGTAGAGATCGACAAAGGGGATCTGCCTGCAGTAACCAAATTCGTTTATCTCAAAGAGCTGGTGGAGCCCCATGGGAAAAAGGGCATTGATGGCCTTCCCTTTTCCCCAGAAGGGTACGAGCGAGCTAAAAACATTCTCAAAGCAAATTATGGGAAGACATCCGAGATTTTCAACGCCTATGTTGAAAATATTCTAGCACTTCCATCCATTTCCGGAACAAATGCAGTGAAAATACACGATTTTCATCAGAAACTGTTGTACAATGTGCAGACGCTAGAAATGCTTGGCAAAATATCTGAATGCCTGGCATTGGTGCAAGGAGTGCTTAAAAAGCTGCTGGGAATTAAAGCGGAATTAGTGCAAGGAAAACTGTATTGTATGATGTAGGTTAGTTGCCT